TTGGCTCAAAGTTTCCGTAGTGTTTAACACAGTTTGTTACCAGGCAAATCACATGCACATGGTCATAACCATCTCTTTGCCCATCCTGCCATGGAATAAATCTTTCAAAGCATCTCAGTGAAACATTATTGCTTGAAGTCATGCTGGGGAATATGACTTTCTTAAAAACAAAACACAAAACCCAAGAGCTTCTCTTTTTTAAGGAAGTAGCACTTCAAGTTCATTCACACCCATCCTGTATATGCTTTCCTAGCATGATGCAACTGATTTGGATTTTTTACCCTAGTAACTAATTCACTGATGATCAAATGCCACACGGTGAATGCCAGACTGGCTTCTGTTTCCCATGACAATTAAGCCAAACATATGTATATGTTGCCATCCATCTACACTAGTAGCCTGAAGGCTGTTTTGTCGATACGAAGATGCACACAAAGGTGGCAGAAGAGAATTTGCTACCTGAGACAAGGGTCTCTGGAAATCCCATCCTAGGGTTAGAATGGCGTGTCCTTGCTCTTTTTCCTTGGTAGGCATTTGAGAACTAATTGTTTTGAAAGAAAGGGTTTTTAACAGATTTTGAACTTGATTTATATCTATTTTTGTCAATTTGGGACTTTATCACACGAACCTCGGTCTCAACTTGGTCTTGCCACAACTGTGTTAAAGAGAATGGAAATATACAAGTGTTGGAACTTTTATTATCACATGTGTCTTCAAGAGCACAATTGGGGCTTTTTGTGCCATTGGTGGTCCCTCACTCTCACCTTCTCCCTTAATCCTACCTTCTTGCCCTATGCTCTACTCAGTATGCCTTTCATTTTTTTATTTTTATTTTTATTTTTATATGTAATGTAATTCTGGAGTTATGGGAATTCAATTTAGTTTAAAAAAAGGAAGAAGAAAAAAGAAAAGAAAGTTTAAAAGTGAACAAAGAAAACAGGCTGCCTGGGATAGTGAAAGGAAGGAGGAGAGAAGGAGAGAAGGTGAGGAGGAGAGGAAGAAAGGAGGAAACTAGAACCATGTGGCACAGTAGTTAAATGCCTGTACTGCATCCACTCATTCATAGACCACAAGGTTGCGAGTTCAATACTAGCCAGGGCTCAGGCTAGACTCAGGCCTGCATCCTTCTGAGGTCGCTAAAATGAGTACCCAACTGTTGGGGGGCAATGAGCTTACAGGTGTAAACTGCTTAGACATCCCATAGCGCAATATGAAGCGGTATATAAATGAAGCTGCTATGCAACTGCCCAATATCAGAACTGCCACAGATTGTCACTTATAGAGTAATGGGGTGGCAGCATGATTGGCCACTTATTGATGTTTTTTTTCATCAATGAAAGGATGCCCTCTAACAATGTTTAGTCTGGAGAAGAGAAGGTTAAGAGGTGATAAGATAGTCATGTTTAAATATTTGAAGGGATGTCATATTGACGAGGGAGCTAGCTTGTTTTCTGCTGCTCCAGAGAATAGGATCCTGAACAATGGATGCAAGCTGCAGGAAAAGAGATTCCACTCAACATTAGGAGGAACTTCATGACAGTAAGAATGGAGCACACTCCCTCAGTGATGGAGTCTCCTTCTTTATAACTCTTTAAACAGAGGCTGGATGGCCATCTGTCAGGGATGCTTTGCTTGTGAGTTCCTGCATGGCACGGGTTTACCTGGATGGCCCTTGAGGTCTCTTCCAACTCTATGATTCTATGATTTTAATGCTTCAGAAGCACAGCAGCGATGGTTTGGAGGTGTTGTTGTGCAATAGGTATTGCCAAAGACACTATTCTCTTGCTACAATTGCAGTTTAAATTCAGTTTAAATTTGATAAAGTCCTTGATCTATTTTTTAAGCTCCACCCAATTCTCCTCTGGCTACCCTTTTTTGGCTATGATGCCCCTTGAGCAAACAGCCAAATAGAAAATACAGAAACATTTCAACCTGTTGTTATTTACCATCAAGTTTGCTTTGATTTATGGTGATCTTGTAATGAGAGATCTCCAAGGCTCCCTGTCAGCTGCCTTGCTTAAGTCTTGCAAACTCAGGACTGTGGCTTCTTTTTCTCTAGTGCCTTCCACTTTGCCAAACATTATCATCTTTTTCCAATGAGTCATGTTATCTCATGATATTTCCAAAGTACAGCAGTCTCAGCTCATCTTCATTTTCCAGATCTGCTTTCACTTTTTGTGCATCATGCACCACATGTCCTGGTTTCCTCGGTCCTGGCTGATTCTAGGGATGTGGATAAGTCAGCAGCAAGCAAAAGCAAAACAGCTTCATTTATATACCGCTTCAAGGGCTTCACTTACAGCTCGAGTGTGCGCACTCATCTCAAACTTCACGCAAAGGAGGAAGCGTTCACAGACATGCTCCGTGGGAAGGGTTTTGTTAAAATCCAACCTTCACTCGCCATATAGCCGCTCACAAAGGAGAGAAACCGTCTGAGAGCCTGGAGGGCAGAACGGGATTGCCAGAATGAAAACTAGGAAGGGCTCCCGTGTCTTTCGAGTTTGTGTAGAAGCGAGTATTTTGGCCAGTTTTGTGGCTTGTGATCTGGTTATGCGCTGTTAATAAATAGCAAATAGTATTAATGCTTACACAAGCAGCCTGCAAAAGCTAGTGTGAATGTTATATTCATGTTATTACAGGACATAATTGACTTGTTATAAAGAACCATGATTCAAATTCCCTGAAGTCTGTGTCAGAAAAATAAAGGTTTTGTTGCATTCATTTTTAAAAAATATATGTGTGTTGTTCTCGCTGAAAAAAACAAACAGTTTTTCAATATAAGAAACTTAACAACTTTTTGTACGCCACCCCGATTGCATTGCAGAGGGGCGGGATAATAATAATAATAATA